TTAGAGGGAGGAGCTTTTGCTTTCTATTTCTACACTCAGTAAGATCATCTCCTAACTACCTCTCATGTTTTGTTCTTCTAAAAATGCTATATGCTCATAAATTTCTTTCTCAAAATTCTAATTTCATTTCTATTAGTAAAGAAATAAACGCCTGTGATAGCTAATCTGGTGATGCAACAAATCTGCAGGTGGACATTTGCATTGGTTATGGTCTATTTTGCGGTACGTTAGGATTAAAGAGCTTGAATCCCATTTTCTTGTAGTGTAAGGTAGCGCCTTCATTAATCTTATCGAATGCACTTTCATTCTGTAGCTGGGGACCGTCTTTTCTGCTTATGGATGTTGGGTGTGCTTAAATGCACCTCTTCCTGAAAATGGTGATGGGGACGAGTTTCTGAGAAGGGATGTGGAAGAGAATGTAACTGAAAACTCTGTGACTGTTAGGGAAAACGATGCGATGGACAAAATCAAGTTGCAGGGTCGCTATGCTCTGGATGAGTTTCAACAAAGTGCAGGATTTTGGGGATATCTTATGCAAACTATATATCAGGTCAGTCTGAAAGCTTATATTTTCTTTCTATAGATAACACTTCCATGACTTGAGTTTCAATACGAGCAACTGATTCCTTGGTTTGCTTCAATGCAGACTTGTGCAGGTGCTGTCATTCTTACAGACATCGTATTTTGGTGTGTTCTTGTTCCGTTCTCATTGAACTCGCACCATGGCCTGAACATGGTGAGAATGAGATTAAACTTCATATAGATTATCTATGCTACATTTATGGAAAAGTCTTAATTTGATCTCAAGCTTTTTGTTTATTTCTTCCTTGACAGTTAATGGGTTCCATGCATTCTTTGAACGCTGTTTTTCTTATCCTAGATACCCTTCTCAATAGCCTTGTAAGTATTGCAGCATTCCAATAAATTCAGTGTAGTCAGGGGACCTGGAATTAAACAAATCTCGTCTCTTTTGTGCTAGCCATTTCCTTGGTTCCGTCTTGCATATTTTGTTCAGTGGAGCTGTCTGTATGTTGTTCTCCAATGGGTTCTTCATGCCAGCGGTTTTACATGGTAAGTATGGTCCTTTTTTTTATCTGTTTTGCTAAGTTCGGCGTTCGAAACCCAACAGATGCTGCTACTTTCACAGGTGGCCGTATCCTTTTCTCGAGCTTAATACGCCATGGGCTCCTTTATGGTAATGTGGGAAGCTAAACACAGTTCAATTAAGTTCTCTCCCTGTTTATGAAAGAATCTGATGAATGGCCATTTGCAGGTACTTTGCCCTTGCTGTGGTCCATATCCCCTGCTATGGCATGTATGCACTTATTGTAAAGCTAAAAATTCAATCCTCCCAAAATTGTTCCCTCGTGCTTTTGTGAGATCATACTAGTTTCTTTCTTTGTATATGGAGAAGGGAGTATTGTACAAATTCATTATTTTTTGGACCATCTCTTGTTTGATATATAATTTCCTCATACGATTGTACCAAGTGTCCAAGTCCAACAGATTAATTATTTACTTATCTATAAAACGATATTTCCTTTTGAATATTACATTCTTCATTAAAGCTATCTGTTTTCTAATTGATATTTCTTTTATTTAAAGTAAATATTGATTACTTGTTTGTTGCATCTTTAAAAGGCAATAAAATACATATTTAACAAGCGAAACTAAGCCTTGTTATAACGAAATCTGGCTAATCTAACGTATTCAACTTATTATGTTTTCTTCTTCTTTCCCTTAATAAAGATGAATTTTTTCTCTATTTGCAAAAACAAAGCCTGGAGTTTTCTATTTTCTTTTTTTTTTTCTTCACGGTATTATTCAATTGTGCTTCCAAGAACATAATCAAGAAGCGGAAATGGACGATAGCGGCGAAGCGTGTGCTGACAATTTAGAATAGGTTGCCTACGGCGCCTGTGGTCATCAGGACATGTGTTCCACGTGCGTTGCTCGTCTCCGATTCCTTATCTGAATCCAATGTCATCTTCGTTACCAAGGTTATACTTAGAGCTTCCCTCTTTCTGTTTAATTAGCTATTCCTTTGATTCTTTATTTGAGAATGATGATCATGAAATCTCTTGTGGTTCAGGCTTTAGGGGATTACACGAGGAACATCAGTGACTTGTCTGTATTTCCATCTCAATCACGAGAAGGACGGACAGGTTTATACTGGTACCACGAAGATACACAAACCTTTTTCGATGGTGTAGATCACTACAAAGTGATCGAGACAATGTGCAGGCTTTCATATAATGTATGTGATCAGTCCCAGGATAGGGTGAAAGGGCGGGGGAACTTTAGTAACATCGAACATTTGAAAGGTCATTTGTTTCACTTGCACAAGCTGGTTATGTGCAGCCTGTGTTTACAAGGAAGGAAGGTAAGGTTAATTTGTCTGACATTATGTAATTGATGTTCGCACGCATTGATTTGCTCGCCGGTTTCCTTTGAGTGATGTAATTGTAGGTGTTTATATCCGAACAAAAGCTATTTTCTGGGGTACAATTGAATCTACATATAAACACCGGTGACTCTGAGGTGGACAGAACCAAGAGCGAGAGAGGTGGATTCATGGGGCATCCAAAGTGTGGGTTCTGCAAGACCCCATTCTATGGGGAAAGTGAGTTATACCTCCACTTGTCCACAGAGCATTATACATGTCATATATGCCAAAGGTACTGAGGTATTCCTGGTAGCCATTTTTAGGAAACGAGTATAAGTGAACTTATTGTTGCGCGTTCATTTTCAATGCAGGCTGCATCTAGGACATCATAAATATTACAGGAAATACGACAACCACGAGGCAAGATGAGTTCTATGTTTCTTATGCTTTTTTTAGTACTTTTGTTTTAGTTTTATGGTTAAATGGAATTCCGAAAAATGTTCTGCTACAGATTCATTTTCGCCAAGATCATTACCTATCTGAGCATGAGGCTTGCCGTGCCAACAAGTTTATTGTCTTTCGGTATGTAGCTGAACTAAAGGTAACTTCTTGGGGCGTTTAAATTTGAGTATTTCCTTGGTGTAGCTCACCTCTTATCTTTTCTCATATAAAGTTCCTTATATTTTTCATTTTCATCCTTTCAGAGGCATAATACCATTGAACATGGAGGTAGCATGTCTCCTGCACAGTGTAATGCTGCTTTACAAGTATGTATCATTATCATACTCTACCTTAATTCATTCATTGATATGCTTTCATTTGTAGATGCCTTGTTTACTTCTTTGTTGTTTTGTCAATTAATCATACTTATTTTTAGCTAACAAGGGGCTTTCAGGATCGTCTGAGTAATGAAGATATTCGTTACCCAAGGGGGAGAATGTTTCTGCCTCAGCCGTATGATAATGGCAATCAACGTTCAATTGGCACTGAGGCAAGTTTGGGTACAGCCAATGTTACCTCAGCATCATCTACTGTGCAGGTGGTATGTACTCATTGAGTCACGGAGGCACAAATTATATCGATCCACTTGTTCAGCCTTTTGAATTATTATCTACAATGGATTCTGAATCATCGTCAAGACATCGTCAAGCATTGGGGACAGGCTCTAGGGGTGCACCTTTTCAAGAATCATCTTTTACTTCGCTCCCCACGGTTCCTGAAAATAACACCGAGGAAGCTTGGTGTCCGAAGAATAGGTGAAAAAGAATTCGAGTTCATCTCAAGCATGGCTAGCAACAAGTTCCAGGCCCATGGAAGCATCAAGTAGTTCAAGCCAAACAACAAATATTGCAGATGCTTCATCGGTTGTTACCAGTAATGCAGTTGCACAAACGAGTTATATAAGTTCAAGTCAAACACAGGCTCAGACTCAACCCACAACAGAGGGTGTATTAATGACATCTAGTTCTCAAACAAGGTCAGGCAATCCAAGTAGGATAAGCCGGGTTCTGAGGATTGTGTAAGTTCATACAACCAAGAAATCTTTGGTCGACAAGGTGGCTGCTCTTGAATATCATGAAGAAAAGAAATATACACTACCTTTAAAGAAATATCAAATATATGCCTTGATACTCAATCAGAAAGGGTTTACACCTATTTACAAAGTTTGAAGATTATGGGGTTTGATACATGCTTCTTTTACTATTACAACGCCCAAAAATGATGCAAGATTTCTGAGTAACTGCTGGAATAACTAGAAGTTTAACCAATGATTACACATTCACATGATAGTTCATAGATATTGATAGATTAAGAGGCGCATGAACCATGATTATCCTGCCGTCACAACTATGCCTATAAATGAACTGAATGAATACAAACGGAGTATATTCATGTTCGTTCATTTAACTTTAACCGAACACAAAACTTCTTGTTCGTGTTCATTCATTAAAGAATGTAGCTTGTTCTTGTCCATTAATGTTCGTTCATTTAAATGATAAACGAATACAAATGAACGAACATAAACGAACAGATGTAAATGAACATAAGTGAACATAAATGAACACAATAGATGTACATAAACGAACACAATAAATAAACATAAATGAACGTAAACAACAACGATAATAACCACATAAAATTCATTATTCATTAATATAACCTACAATTTCAGAGTTAAAATTATTTGGGTTTTAAATGGATATGGTTTATATTTTCTTCAATTGATTCGAGTTTAAAATTATTTGGGTTTTAAATTATTAATGTTTTGATCTTAATATTTTAAATGGGTATGGAGATTGGGCTGAATATAAATAAACATACACGTACATAAATGAACGAATATAAACGAACGGACATAAACGAACGGATTACCGAACGTAAATGAACGAACGAGACATTTGTTTGTGTTTGTTCACTGTTGAAGTTTGTACACAAGAGCCTTGAAGATTATCAAGAATATACAAAACGTGTATTATTAACCAAGACTACTCAGTATGTTTATACACAAGCTTTCAGCCTTAACAACCTCATAACTGCTTCTAATCATTCTAACTAATTAACCAACTGCACACTAACTGCTTGCACACACGCACGTATGCATATAAGCATGTAGTCATGCTTCAACATTCTCCCTGTCATTCTCAACTATTTGCTTTTCTGCTATCTGAACTTTCTGACTAAACAACATGTGTGCCGACTTAGCCAATGGTTTGGTCATGTCATCCGCAACTTGATGATCTGCTGGTACGTAATTCACGCGAACAACCTCACACTCTACTTTCTCACGCACAAAGTGAATATCCAACTCTATGTACTTCGATCGTGCATGAAATATCGGATTCGCACTCATGGCAATAACGCTTGTATTATCACTCCACACAACTGGGATTGCATCGACTGCTTCACCAATGTCTGTTAACAGGGACTTAACCCAAACCACCTCAACAACAGTATTTGCAATACTACGGTATTCAGCTTCTGTTGTCGAACGAGCCACAACCTTTTGTCTCTTTGCACTCCACGAGACCAAATTGCAGCCAAGAAATACGCATGAGCCAGAAACTGACCGCCGATCATCGACGTTACTAGCCCAGTCAGCGTCTGCAAACGCAGTTATACAACAAACTTTAGACGCAGAAGATCGTCTAAACACCAAGCCACAGTCAAGTGTTCCATTCAAGTAACACAATATTCTCTTAACAACCAACCAATGACCATCACAAGGCCGATGCATGTACTGAGCCACACGATTAACGATAAACGCGATATCTGGCCTCGTATGACTCAAGTATAATAAAGAGCCAACTATGCTTCGATACAACCATGCATCTGAGAGTGGCTTCCTAGCATCAACAGTCAGTTTTGGCGAAAGTACCATTGGCGTAAGCGCAGACTTAACAGCAAGCATACCAGTTTGTTCCAGTAGCCCCCGAATGAACTTACGTTGGCTCAGTACCAACTGTTCAGAAGTCTTATGGACTTCAACACCAAGGAAATACCCCAACTCTCCCAAATCTTTCAACGAAAACTTTTTACCAAGCATGCTAATAACCTCTCTTCCTCGCAGCAACACAACACCAGTCCTCTCATCCCGAACCACACAGTAATCAGCATGAAACTCCAAGAATACTCTATTATCCCTAGCAAGCTTGAAAACCGCACTAATTTCTTAGTAATGGAAGGCACATGTAGCAAGTCACTTAATATTAAAACACGCGACACATTACAAATAGAAGCTTGACCAATTTTAGTAATAGACAAACCACTACTATTGCCTACAGTCAGCTTACCAGCCCATGTATAATCTGAGCCATCCACTAGTTCTGCGGCATCAGACGTAGTATGGTGTGTCGCCCCTGTATCGATAAACCACGAACCAAGAGTTAAACTCGTAGCAGCCACATTTGCAACAAACTTGAATCATTCTTGACCGTTGAGCCAAGCTGCACCTCCATTTGGTCTACTCGCACACGAGCACTTATTAGAGTTGTAATGACAAACATTAATTGTGGGTACTCATTCCTTAAATGAGCTCCTTGAGTCAGAACTCCTCAGATCAGATTCATCCACATCTAAGAATGACTTATTGAATCTGTACCAGCACCTATTCACAATGTGACCATTCTTGCCACACAACTGACACTGCACCTTGACACGCCCTTGACCACGACCAGTTTGACCACTATAGGTAACCTGCCTCTCTAACGCAGTATGATCTTGTCTAGCAAATCGAGCGGTTCTTTCATCCACAGACGTTTTTACTTGAGCAACATTAGTTGCAGCTGTAATGTTGTCAAACCTACTAAAGTTCTTTTGATGAGTCTCAGCATCAACGAGGACAGACACGACCCCTTCCAGAGTTAAGGCATCATGGCTAGCTGAAAGAACAGTAACCACCGGCCTGTATTCAGCTGATAGTCCATTCAGTATGGTTGCAATGTGCTCCAGCTCCGACACTGGACTGTCGCACGAAGCTAAGGCATCACATATCTCTTTAACTTGAGATATGTAGCCCAGCATTCCTAGTTCTCCTTGATGAACTGCTTTAAGCTGATAATGGAGGTTCATTACCGCCGTCGCAGACTTACAGGCGAAGATCTTATTTACAGTGTTCCAGACCTGCGCAGCAGATTCAACCCCCACTAAATGTGGCAACAAGAACGGACTGATCGTAGACAGTAGCCACGAGGCCAAGGCACTATCTTGGGCTACAAAGATCTCATGATCTTCATTTTCAGCGACCGTGCCATCCTCTAGCACAACCATGGCAGGTGGAGAAATAGCCATCCCAGAAAGCAATTTCTCTAGCCGATGACTCCTGATTGTTAACAGTACCTGCTATTTCCACAATAGAAAAATTCGTTCATCGAGCACGACACTCAACCGTTTATTAGTAAAGCTCTTGGAAGCAGTTACCGAATGCTCAGAATTGCTCACAACACCTCCGGAAAGAGGAGAGGTCGGAAGCGCCATAAAGCCACCGTGCACTCAGCAAGAACCTGACGCAATTCTTCCTACACCACGAGATCACCAGCATCTGATACCATGTTAAAGTTTGTACATAAGAGCCTTGAAGATTATCAAGAAGATACAAAACGTGTATTATTAACCAAGACTACTCAGTACATTTATACACAAGCTTACAACATTAACAATCTCATAACTGCTTCTAACCATTCTAACTAATTAAATAACTGCACACTAACTGCTTGCGCGCGCACACACACACTCCAAGCCATACTGCACACGCGCGCGTATGCACATAAGCATTTAGTCATGCTTCAACATTCACTTAATTAAACGAACATAAAATCTTGTTTCGTGTTCATTCGTTTAATAAATAAACGAACATTCCACCGAACAGTTCACGAAAGGTTCACTGAACGTTTGGTTCGTTTATAGGCCTAATCGCAACAATCAACCAATTTTTTCGTTTCAAAGAAAAATGGTTAAACTCCCTAATCTAAAAGTATTAAATACCGCAACAACGGAAACAAATTAAGGTCAAGTTACTTATTAGTTATAAATATCATGTTAAAACAACATATTAATGTTCGGGGATAGCTTAGTTGGGAGAGTGTCAGACTGAAGATCTTAAGGTTGTGTGTTTGATCCATGTTCACCATATTAAAATATTTTTCCTTTTCTCCGTCTGCTAACAACAATGGACAAAGTGTACCTTGTTTCAAATCCCAAAATCGTTTATTCAAAGCAAAACCGTTGTATTCATCGTTCTTTATGGATTCCACAAACCATGTGAGACTTTTCCAATGCCCACAATATAAAACGAAACCTTTCTTGTGTTGACTGTTGCGGGGGATATTCAGCAAGTGGTGGTTGCGTTGTCAAAAATTATTCCGCAAAATGTGAGGTATCTGTCAGCTACGAGTTAATACGGTGTAGGCAGAGACCAAACACTAACCACATCCTTGGCATTTCATGTCTACTTGGTCCAACCAATCTTCAAATATAAAGAACCATGAGCACAAAGCTGGCTTAGAAAGATTTAAAAGGAATAAAAACTTAAGGAGATGTGTATGAGAGAAGGAAATGATTAAGAAATCCACAGTCCGGCTCCCACAAACTCTCTCTCGATTACCAAGGGAAAAGAAGGAAGGAAAAGGAGTGATGAAGCAAGAAAAAAAATGAAGAAAAAGTAGAAAAAATAATGGATAAAAAGATTATAATAAAAGGATATGACGGACATGAAAATTCTTTAAGCCCATTCCCGCTTATCAAAAAGTTTTACTGCACGATAATCTTAATATACGACTAAGCTCTACCAGTTTATTATTATTTTTTTAACAAAACACGCCTGCTACATGCTCTAACAGGTCGGAAATTTGACTTTCAAATAAAAAGGGATATATTACACAAATAGCTCTCCATTTTTCTCCCACTTTATACAAGCTTCTAAACATTCTTATTTTCTTAGAAAAAGGGCAAAATCCATCCAACTTAAGCCCAATAAAACCAAAACCCAAAATAAATTATCCATTAGTAACCTGAGTCGGTGCTCGAACATTGACTCAAAAAATTGGATTGTTACAATTATCAGGCTCGAAATCTATCAAGCAGTTACACTGCAGAAAAGTTCATTTCGTTTAAGATTAAAGCTTTGATTATTGTTGTACGATTCGGTTTTGAGTAGAATCGACCGGATCTGCAAATTTTACAGTATATTCGATCTTCAAATCGAGTTTAAAATTTATGAACGGTGATTTGTGTCTTTCAATTTATGTGCAAGCTAAAACTCCGACGGCCGTTTTATTTGCTATTTATTTTTAGTTTGTCGGCGGGTGTCCTTTTCTGATCACACGTCTTCTAAACTTGTTCGATAGTTCCATAAATGCTTGACTTGTTTTTGAGAGTGAAAAATTGCAGTGAATAACATAACTGTGAAATTGCAACAGCGTTCATGGTTTTAAAAGTATGCTACTCCTAAATTATTGTTCACAGTGCTGACCTTCCTAAGAATATAAGCTTCCTAGAAAGCACGGTGCCACTATATTTAATGCCCGATTCTACCGTTTTTGAGCTGTTCCAGGAAAGCATGACAGAATCAGTGGTTTCTTATTTTTAATTTTGATCTTTAATTCCTGTGTTATTTATCTTTTATTAGCGGCAGCATATTCGTTTGGCCTACCAAACTAATTAAGATTCTTTGGTGTTCTTGCAATATGCAGCTTGTTGGAATGGAGACCTTTCTATTCACATCTTAATCCGTAAACGAGGGTCACCCCGACAAGCTTTGTGACCAGATTTCTGATGCTGTGCTCGATGCTTGCCTTGCCCAGGACCCTGACAGCAAGGTTGATTGTGAAACATGCACCAAGACCAACATGGTCATGGTCTTCGGAGAGATTACCACCAAAGCCAATGTAGACTATGAGAAGATTGTCCGTGACACATGCCGCTCCATTGGATTTGTTTCTGATGATGTGGGTCTTGATGCCGACAACTGCAAGGTCCTAGTCAACATCGAGCAGCAGGGTTCTGATATTGCCCAGGGTGTGCATGGCCACTCTACCAAATGCCCAGAAGAAATTGGAGCTGGTGACCAGGGCCATATGTTTGGCTATGCCACCGATGAAACCCAGAATTGATGCCCCTCAGCCATGTCCTTGCAACTAAACTTGGGGCACGTCTTACTGAGGTTAGGAAGAATGGCACCTGCCCCTGGCTAAGGCCTGATGGTATAACACAGGTGACTGTTGAGTACTACAATGATAAGGGTGCCATGGCTCCTGTTCGTGTCCACACTGTCCTCATTTCCACCCAGCATGACGAAACTATTACAAATGATGAAATTGCTGCTGACCTCAAAGAGCATGTTATCAAGCCTGTCATCCCTGAGAAGTACCTTGATGAGAAGACAAACTTCCTCCTTAATCCATCTGGCTTTGTCTTTGGTGGTCTTCACAGTGATGCAGGTCTCACTGGACGGAAGATCATTATCGACACCTACGGTGGCTGGGGAGCCCATGGTGGGGATGCTTTCTCTGGAAAGGACCCTACCAAGGTGGACAGGAGTGGTGCATACATTGTCAGGCAGGCTGCCAAGAGCATTGTAGCAAATGGACTTGCCCGGAGGTGCATCGTCCAAGTCTCTTACGCTATTGGTGTGCCTGAGCCCTTGTCCGTCTTTGTAGACAGCTATGGAACTGAAAGGATTCCCGACAAGGAAATCCTCCAAATTGTGAAGGAGAACTTCGACTTCAGGCCAGGAATGATCACCATTAACCTTGATCTCAAGAGTGGTGGCAATGGGCGGTTTTTGAAGACAGCTGCCTATGGACACTTTGGAAGGGACGGCCCAGACTTCACCTGGGAAGTTGTGAAGCCCCTCAAATGGGAGAAGCCTCGGTCTTAAAACCCAGCTTTGGCTTGCCTCCTTATAACTATGAGCAAATTCCCCGAATATCTCTAATCGCATACACATGATTTCCTCCTTTTCATTTCCATTTTCTTACATTTTTTCTTTCACCTTTAATTGTTTTTTACAGTGTCGTTCGTATGAGAATTTTGCTTATATCGATGGCATTTTAAGAACCAATCTTCCTCTTAGTTGCATCATGCCCTGTGAATGAACACTTAAATTGAAGAGCAACAACAAATTATATTTTTATTATTTACAATCTTTATGTAAATAAGGGGTTTATTTGGTACTAAATATCTTTTGTTAAAAAAATAAGGGTAAAATTTACTCGTCCACTATTTTATATCAAAATTTTATATTCATACACCATTTAAAAAATTGTATTTATTATTTACAATCTTTTTGTAAAGTTTTAATAAAAAAATGTGATATTAAAAATTACAACACAATTTTTAACATTAACTAAAAGATATTAATTTTATGAAAAAAATATTATTACAAGAATAGAAAGGAAAAGGAAAATTTTTTAGTTAGTTTTATTAAAAGTATAAAATATCTAGAATTACAATAAAGATTTATAACCACAATCGTAATCGTAAATTAAATTATAATTAGGATATTTTCCTATAACAATTGACACAAAAAACTAGCCACCTAGATCACACAAGGATAAAAAAGGAAAATATAAAAAAAATCTAACCAAAATGCTCGAACAAAATAAAGATATGAATCACAAAAGAGATGAAACTATTGAAAGACCACTGACAAATCGCAAATCAAAGTCAAGCGGTGTGAGAAAACTATTCACGAACTCAAAATACATATCTAAATCAATTCGAGGGTCCAAAGCAGGTAAGATCAACATGATAATAAATAAACACTATCTTAATCATTTAAGACGATGTCAAATCTAACCCTAAGAAAAAAATAAATGAAAATAGCGATTAAACAGCCTGAAAACTATCAAAAGACATAGATAAACATGTCACAAAATTAAAATTATTTTATTAAAAAAAACTTACTATCGATAATCAACATTAAAATTAATGTCGCAACGACTCAACAAAATCAAAAAGGAAAAAATGATTTGATATATAAAAGATAACATAAATTATAAAGAAAAAAAAGGGAAAGAGGACGAGGGGAGAGCGGCTAAAGTTGAGAGCACTAATAAAAGCAAAAGAAACAAATCAAATAAAAACTTAATACTAAATAAAATGAAAAGGCACATATGTTAACTTCAAACAGAGGCGGAGCTTAGCGAGGGATTAAGGAGGTATCGACATCTGTTAAAATTTAAATATTTAATAATTTTGATTTAATATTATTTTGATTTATGTAAAAATAAATTAAAAATTATAAGAATTTATTAAATATTTAATCAAGTAAGGAACGAATTAAAGAAAGATAATTTCTTATTCTCAAAAACTTTGGTCTAATAATAATTTAGGTCATTGTAAGTTTAAATATTAGATAAATTAAGTATTATCTTGTGAATTTTGAGATTTTTTTTTAAATCTAGGGTGAATGGGTAATTAATATGCCTAGACGAGATTGGTACGTTACCCTTGAGGTTCGGTATTACCATGAAAAATGTTGACCACTTTTTTCTCCTTAAAATAAGAGATTTTATTAACCACTATAATATATATTCATTCATTAAATTTTATAGTAAGAGTATAACTTTTTAAAATATTATATTAAAAATTTAAGATTATAAAATTGTAATTAATCATCTTTAGAGGAGATGGGTTCTCGCTCGGCTTACATTGCTCTTACTATTTGGCTTGTATGGAGGGATAGAGCATTGATAAACGGACGATTAACTTCCTGGGTATTACGAACTACGCTGGATATATTGCTTGTGGTTGTCCTTTGAAAAATCTGAATCATATCTTAAGAGAATGCTCCATTGCTTATAGTGCCTGGAATCGTTACACCAAGAGGTCGAGATGAGGTTACTCTTAGGACAAAGATATTCGTTGTTGGATCCATGAGAACTAGGATATGTCAAAGAACAACCAAGAATCTATTACCTTATTTGCCTGCATTTTATGAAAACTCTGGACGTGTAAAAGGTTGTTCGAGAAAGATGATTACACTTATGATGATGAAGCTTTTTGGCATTGCATTATGCTTTTAACAAAGGAGCATATGCACTTTAAAAAACCTACATGCATTGTAAACTCCGAAAAGTTTGGTGAAGTGGTACTTTGATACATGCATCACAAGGCTCACATAAAAAAAAGATGGTCTAACACTTTCAATTGATCCACACGATCAAGTCTTGGAAAAGAAGAATAGTAGAGCAGCAAACTTGCGACTATTTTTTGAATAATATCTTGATGTTATTTGGTCGACATGTCTTCTGGATTTACGATCGGTTGTCTCTTAGCTTTCCAACAGTTTTTGAATCGTATCAATCCAATATTAAGAACTCAAGATACGCTCATTTTAGTGAAGACAACGTATGTAGAAATTCCTATACGGGATTAATATGAGATTTTATAAATATTATAGATTTTTAATATTTTTATTGATTATTTGTAATATAATTTAATACAAGATGACACGTTATTTTTTAAGATTAAATTTATTATTTTATTATGAATTAAGATAGAGGGCATTTCATAATTCGGAGGTCTCCTACGAAAGCTGCTCTCAACCTAGTGTTGGGGGCAGTCTACTATCTTACCTCCCCTTACCCCATTACATATGGGAACAAGGGACAACCATTTTTTTAAAACAATTATCTTTAGTTTATTCTTATTATGAATTATGATAGAATTGTTATTGTTATTTTTGTTATTATTTTCAAGCATTAGTTATACTACAACAAGACTCATTCACCCTATAGAAAGGAGGCTCATTCTACCATTTTAAACAGGCCCGGTCCTGACATTTTAAAGATCCTAGACCAGAAGGTGATGACAAAAAGATAAATGGGGGCCATACTTAGATTTCTCCCATCATTAAAATGGGATCCCACTAAATTACTATATTTTCGAGTTTTTTAAATAAAAAATGATGTTTAAATTTTTTTTAATTATTGGGACCCACTAAATTATCATATTTTCGAGTATTTAAAATTAAAAAAATATGTTTAAAAATACTTTTTTAATTATTAAACTTAAAAATAATTTAAAAATGGACCCCTCCAAACTTGGGGCCCTAGGCGGTCGCCTCCCTGGCCTATGCCCAGGGCCGGCCCTGATTGTAAACACATATTTTCCTGAATACAATACATTGAGAGTTTATCTTTTTAAGTGTTGATTACTTGTGTTTTCGAAACTTCTTTTCATTGCAAACTAAGATGATACGATAGTTGTCCATCTATTTTCATCTTCCACAATTCTATCATCTTATTCTTTCATTCAAATCATTTCGTTTTCTTTATTGAATCTAGAGCTTTCTAGGTTTGATTCTTCAACGATGATGAATATTGATTATCTGCTGCCGCCTCTCTCACTCCCTCATTTGGTTGGAAGAGTGAAGCTTAACACAGATGGTTTTAGTCAAGGTAATCTAGGCATTGTTGGAGCAGGCGGTCTTTTTCGAAGCGAAATGGATCGTGGGTTTCGTAGAGCATTTAGGTATTTGTTCTAGTGTGGCAGCGGAGTTTTTTACGTTACGAATTGGTCTGGTAATTGCTTGGAAATATGGTTACAATAATATTGATTGCGAAGTAGATGCCAAGTTACTATCCGACTTATCGAAACTGGAGACACCTTGATTCACCCCTGGGTTCGATGATAGAGGATATTTGAAGTCTTATATCTCGGAACTGGTCTGTGGCGTTTCATCATACCTATCGAGAAGGCAATTTATGTGCGAATGTTTTATCGAAGATGGGTTGCAACCTTGTTGAGGAGCTCGTCGTCTTTGACTTTCCTCTGGTGGAAGTCTGTTCATTCCTTGATACAGAGATGAGGAGTGTTCTATACCCTAGAGGTTATCTCCTAGTTTCTTTCTATTCCCTTTGTAACAAAAAAAATCTCTCAGTTGATAGCTCATCTTTATGTTAGGGTGTCAGTTCATTTCCCACTAGAAGTAGAATTCTCCCTCCCCTCGCCCAACTACATATTGTCAAAAAATTATAACATTATAAATTTTTGAAAAATATAAAATTAAATTATTATATAAAATAAATATTTTTTTGATTAATCTAAAGGTAATTACAATGTAGTATCTGTTCGAAAGAATTTAAACTCGTTTGACAATGAATGCTTAAACATTCCTGACATACGATGTGCTCAAACCCGATAACTCTAGGATAACAATCATCCCTTTAACCACTAAAATAACTTAGTTTATACTATAAAATAAATATTTAAATCAAATAAAATTTTGAATACAATCTCTTAACATCAACATGTATTAATATATATTGAGGGAGTGTTGGAGTGTTGGAGTGTGGTCGTATCTTTTGAAAAATTCAATTCCAACGTTATTTAAGTACTCTATTTTTCTCATTAAAAATGTCCATTATTGATTTTTTAATCAAATTTTTGTAACTTTGACTCACTATAATTTAAAAAATATTGTTGATAAAAATATGAAAAAATATATTTAAAAACTTTCAATCAAATAGTTTTTAAATATATATTTTAAAAAATTTAATTATTTAAAATATTTAAAATAATCATGATAAAAGTTTTAAAATATTAAATTTTAAAAAAGTTAACAAGGACCATCTTTACGATTATCAATAATTAAGAATATTTAGAACATATACTATTGTCGCGGCCGTCTTTCGGTTGGGCCTGGAATTAGACTTTGACTTGGATTAAATGAATTAGAGTCGCCACCGATTATTTATTTTAAAGCAAATGGGTGGATCAAATACCTTATTTCTTACCTGATCTGCATCGTGCCAAAGATGTGTCGGATTCGGGAATTGGTTACAGTCAAGGAAGGGTTAGCACCCTTGAACTGCCCTTTCGGTACTACATAATTTCCAATTGTCTTTAATTAAGAAAGTTGAAAGTTTAAATTAAAAGGTAAAATAACGATCCAAAACTTACCCGTGATTGATTGAAAATATACCCTTAACAGAAAATAAAAAAGGTAAAGGCAAAAGTAAATAATATAAATAAAACAAATAAGAATAAAAAAATACACATAATAAACAAATAAATGAAAATAAGAAGAGAATACAAATAAATAAATGGATAAAATAAATATAGAGAGAAAATAAAAAAAAAGAATAAATATAAGGAATAAAAATGAAAATAAGATAAAAGAAAATAAAAAGTAAAAAAAGGTGATAACTAAGTAAAATAGAATAATAATAATAAAGAGTAATAAAAGAATGAAAAAAATAAATAAATAATGTATATAAGTATATATATCTATAAATAAAAATTAATGAAAATAATAGTAATAACAAATGTAATTAATCATATATGCAAATATAGGATTAAATTGAATTAAAAGTGAAATTAGGGGGCAGATTTCAAAGAAAATCGTGGATTAAGATTCATTTAGGGGCAAAATTAAATGCTTTAAAAAACGGAGTGACCATATGGGGATTTCCCCATTTATTTTTAAAAACACGCGGATCCCCTTGGGGATCCTCTCGGGTCGGTTTCGTAGGTTGGTATAAATACCAAAAAATTTTCATTTCCTCTCATTAAACCGAACCCCCCCTTTGGCTTAAAAATCTCTCAAGTGTTTTGAGATTCAAGAACACATCTCGGTTCTTGATGAACCCAGCCGTTCATCGGCTACGAAAAGATATTTTTTTTGCTTTTTTGAAACTTTTTCGTATGCTCTCTTCAAATATCAAAATAATTTTTCGAAAGAACGCCTCAAGGGGAGTAGATCTAAAAAAGAAGATCCGAACATCCCCCTTCCCGGTCATCGGCGGTGGGTATTTTTTTAAAACCGAAAGCAATGAAAAGAACATGCAAGCCAAGGTTGAGCCGAAAGAGGTGAGAAAATTGCTACCTTTATCTTTATTTCTCTTTCGAACGCCTTACAAATGATTGGGATTGCTTGTATATTTCTGCCTATTTCGAGTGATTTTGAGTGCCTAATCCTCTGTGTAATCCTATGTAATTTCCCATGTATTTTTGTTCGATTTACAAGCCCTATTTATAGTACAAAAATGGTCCTATCTTTAGCATTTGATTATGAGAAAAATTCTCGGTTTGTTGCTTGTTCTTAGTTTCTCACTAACACACATTACTTTTTTGTTGACTGTGGATGGCCTCGTGAGAACCATGCGCCGAACGTTTCGGATTGGGTGGCATGTGGCTGTGAAAACCGAAGGTTGACCATGTTGGGTGAAAACGGTGTTGGACGAGTGGCTTGCTAGGATTCTGGAAACCCTAGCCTTCTGCGGGTCACGGGTCAACAGATTCAGGCTGCTCCAACGGGTATTGGGTTACTGCTGCTGGGTCACCCACTGTGTTGGTCACGTGGAATGGGTCTTGGGCTGATGTATTTTGTACTTGGGCAGCCTTGTTATAGGCCCTAATTGTAATATTGAACCTGTGAAATGTAATGAAACAATTAATAAATATAAATACATATATTATATAATATAATTTACAATGTAAATACATTATATAATATAATAACAAGTTATGGATGAAATGACGTGTTTACAACTACTTTATAATCACATTAATTTAATAAAAAATTCTTTAAAATTTTAATATAATTATTTAAATTTATTTGTCTAACATAAAATTATATGCTAATTTCTACTCAATAACGTGGATTCATCTCTACGAGAAAGTGAAATGGTTCAAAGAAGGAATTGATAAAACTAAAACCCTAATTGTACGAACTGAAGGGAACAGGTTAACGCGTGTATTCAAAGGAATAGCAAACCCTTCTTAGCCTGTCCGTCTTAATATACGATTAAAAAAAACGTTATTAGTTTTGTTATTATTTAAATAATAAAATTGATAAAAAATTATTGAAAATATTATTATTTCTATTGATTTTATTATTATTAGGTGCTTTAGTTATTTTTTCTATCGATTTTGTTATTGTTTGATATTTTATCGAAAATATTAAAAAATATTAATATTTTAAGTAAAAATAATAATTTTTTAGATAATTTTTTATCATTTTATTATTTAAATATTAACAAAACCAATAACAATTTTTTAACTATATATTAAGGATAGAAACCGTATAACTTTCACTCTTACCCATTCCCTAAGAAACTTGATTACAAATTAAGAAATGAAGAGTTGGTTGGGATGGTGTCCAATCAAGTGAAAATGACATAATTTTCTCTTTTTTAACCAAAACCAAAGTCTTTCTGCCCATTTAAAATGTGCACAATTGCTTGGGAACTTGGGGAAAAAAATCATGCAATATCTGATCTTGCCCGCAAAAGCCTCTTTTTTTTTTTTTCAAGGTAGAACTTTGGAAAAACGTGAAAATTGATGGTTGATTAGGTTAAGATAATAAAAAATATCATTAGATTTTCCCCCATCCTTGCCTTTAATTACCTTGAATGCGAATCAATTGCTGTGCTGTATTTTAAGTTTTTCCTGCAAAAGATTCATCTTCAGGTCCGATGAATCCTCGAATGCGAATCGATTGTTAAGTTTTAGTCAATCGAAGGGAGAAAAAAGGGTCTTGTCAGAGGTGACAAAATGGACAGCTTTCCCAAGGTATTATTATGTGGGTGGAGCTGGGAGGAGAACAAGTTGTTTGAGGTGGCTCTAGCGGTGGTCGACGAGCAGCACCCGGATCGTTGGGAAGCGGTTGCAGCCATGGTCGGAGGACAAAAAAGTGCAGAAGATGTGCAGAAACATTATGTCATTCTTTTGGAGGATTTGCAGTTCATAGAGTCAGGCAAACTTGACCATAATCTCGGCGAAGAAAATCGATCGGTATGCTGGACCAATGAAGATAAATAGTATATGAACATGCAGTCTTTCTTTTCTGCGATTTTCTTATCAGGTTTTGGCTTACAGATTACTGGCACGATTGGACATAAATTGATCCCCGGAGCCAATGTTCGTTTATGTTAGCAGATTTGTTATTGGCGCCGGTGCAGGATCTAGTGGTTTTCGTAGATGTAATCAATTCCTAATGATTCAGAGTCTGCAAATAGAATTAAGAATCAAGGACACGCAAGATCAACAAAGATACCCTGTTTTATATTGTTTTACTTCGTTGCTGGAAGCTTAATTCTTAAACTAGACGAACTTTACAGTTCTGTTTTATACATAAAAATAAATAAATTGTTCACCTTTTTACATATATAGGGACTAAAATATCTGTTCCAATAATAAAGAGATTAAAATAAATTTTTAATATAAAATAAGAACTAATAGTAGACTTGAACCCAAACTTCACTATCAAGTAAATAAGACTCAACAACAATTCCATTTACCTAATTCATGGATAAACTAATTTAATGACTAAAATGCATATAAAATAATGAATTAATCTCCAATTGGTTTCCCAATTCCGCGCACCTGGTTGTGTCTCGTGGATGACAATCATGGCTACGTGTTAACAATGCTCTTTTTGATAATAATATTATAACATCCCATTTTAGATTTAGCGAACCAGGAAACTGGTCTGAGTCTATGTTGTTATCCACGGTATTTATGTAACAAGTCCAACAGGATCGGCGGAACACAATACGACGTACTAATCTGAAACTGTACTAGCATTTTGAGAGCCAGTTGAAAATACAAGTTTGTGCGTACTTCCCTACGCTTCATCTGTTGGTGTACTATCGCAAAATTGTGTCCGTCTTGAATTGAATGTGATAATTTGTCGTTCAACTCTTAAACGATACTTCTAAGTTCCTAAACACGTATGGACTCACTCAAAGTATTTTGGAGCTCAGGAATAGGCAATGGGAGACCCAAATAAACCATGCCTTTAGTGAAGCCAATTGACTGGTAGATGCTCTTTGCAGGTATGGTTCGGTAAAGAACCAGAAATGCATTACAGAGTTCGTCCTCCTGAAGCATGTCTAGACATCCCTCGCTGATGATACTGCTGGAGCAGCCTTTGTAAGAAGACGGCCAATATTAATATGTAATTAAGCGCTTGCTGTTTCTGTTTTTACCTTATGGATAATGATTACATGGGCAACAAAGAATTACAATTCAGATTTCAGACACTGATGAAATCAGAAACATGTTGCTGTCTTTAGCTAATTCCGTTTTCTGTTCACATAATTGCATCTAGAAAAAGTATACAACTGAGATATATTCTAGCTTCACTTTATATACATTTCCCCATCCAGTGAAGTTCCTAAGCTTATCTGTAGAATATCACAAGCGATTTTCCAAGAGGTCGGGAAGAGTTATTTTCCCAGAGTTATTT